TAGACTGATTTCTAATTTTACTAAAAAATATATAATATATTCTTTTAATTTCAACATTTTTATAAAAGTAAAACTGAAATTTTTAACATGCATCGTTCCTATATTGATGAGATTATCTTTTCGCGCAGAGGAAAAGGAGAAATGAAATCACGTGGTTTTTATGGCATGCAATGAATTTCATTTAACCTGCTCACGCCCCAATGATTTTTTATTTTTTTAAAAGTGTCATGACAAAGGCCTGTTTATGAGGGTCACATTTGTTTTTCTTATACGTCTGCCCGAAGTTAGGGACTAACATTTTCAACAGCTATTCTTTATCATATTATATTCTCGGAGTGGATGAGATTTGTTGCTTTTTAAGCTCTGTGGATATATTATTATTATGTACTTATTTATCATAAATTAAGTACGGCTTGTCCATTAATGACACAAAGAATTTTGGATTATTTTTTCTTACTAATACGATTAAAAGTTTTAGTATGTAGTTATAGAAAATTTACTTTGAATCCGAACAGCATACGAGTATGTATGTATGTATTAAAAATCATGTTGATTTCATTGGTTGGTCCGTTGCAACATCTATAAAAGATACACCAACAAATTTTGCATATATGTATAAATATTAGCAGACTTAATAGTATTGGACGTAACTACTAACATATAACAACACTTATGTTATTAAATTATGCCAGATTTATTTGCTCTCTATTTAGGTAATGTATTAACATCAGCTTTTTGGAAAGATACCAAGACTTTGATTGCTTAATATTCCAATTTCTCACGGTGGAATAATAAGACCGTGATATCAGCGCCGCTGTTGGTTTTCTTTTATTAAATAATAAATCTGAATTCCTTTTACGGCACCGCTTTCAAATGCTTTTGTAATTTATAATGACTAATAAATATGATTTTTAACCACGGATGCAAAAAGTGGTATGGTAAAAGTTTGGCGCCTATTTACTGGTTATCTATCATATATCATAGGTCCCAGATATTTTTTTTAATTAAAAGCTAGTCAAATCTAATAAATAAAGTTGATGAAATCCGTCCACTTGTTCAAATGTTATAATTTATTTCGAACTTAAAATTTCGAATATGAGATGTTTGATGCAATAATAATGAAATATGATAAATTAAATAGTAATAATTATAATTAAATTAAATATGCAAAAATAATCAAATTAAAATTAATATTATAAATTGCACATACATATTTGTAAAACCAACTTATAGATAGCCTTAACCCTATACGGATAGCCAGCAGATTACATTGTTCCTTGAAAATGTAGGTTAGCGCTATATTGTGTTTAGGTTCATTCAAACGTCCTTGATTAGAAGTGAGCGACAACGATCAAGTTCTAATATATGCTTGCACACATCATACTACTATTGCTATGTTTGTTAGTTCTTCACGCTGGAAGGTTGAGACAAGATGAAATTCTAATTGTATTTATACACATAAATATAAATACCATGACCTTGAGTAATAGGCTACCTACTGCTTGGCATCTAGAGACGCATCCGATATATTTATATTTATTTATTACAATATATTTATTTTCTTAGATTTACGCGAATATTCGATATTTTAAATAAAACTATCTTTTCGGATAATATCGCGGATTCATTTTGATTTTTGGTTCTCGACGTTTCGACTGCTTTTCAGCAATCATGGTCACGGGAGGGACTGAGGTGTTAGACGTCTCAAATGCATTATAAACTTGTTACAGACAGTGCCTACCTACAATTTTACAAAATGATTGCAAAAATTCAAAAATAGCATCAAAGTACCTTAACTATAACTACAATATATTAACTACAATATATTTTTTTAAACTACTTAATCAGCAAAGTCCTAAAACAAATATAGTAAAATAACTTATTATCATTTTCTTAACTAAAATAAATGTTTTTTAAACAAAAACACACTTTAAACCACTGAACTCTTGTAAAAGGGTATTCCGAATGGATAATCTCGACACGGGCAGAGAGTAAAATGAGTTTTTCGCCCGACCAGTGTTAGAACAGTGTAACGAAAATGTTGATATGCTCTCATTCCTTTGTGACTACACTATATAATAACAAATACTACTACGCCCCCTCGTAGTTAGTTTAGGTTATATTATTTTACAGTTGATGATTATTAGGTTACATGATCGGTTAACCAATTTATGCATAACTCTGGCTATCTATAATTAAAATTGGTTTGTATAATGCAGTAATATTATTTACATGAATATGTATGTATATCTTACTAGCGACTTACCGCGCTCTGCTCGGGTTCGCCCCTCGTTGTGTTTTAGTATACATTTCTCAGAGATGATATATTTTCCCGCAGCAAAAAGTATCCTATATGTTGACTCGGATAACCAGCTATCATCATGCCAAATTTCATCAAAATTGGTCCAGTGGTTTTCTCGCGATTCGTTCACAGACAGACAGACAGACAGATAAAAATTCTAAAAACTATAGATATGGTCTCTGTATCGATAATAATGTCTATTTAAACAAGATTTTCAAAAATTTCGACTCAGTGAATTTTATTATATGTATAGATTGTATTTTTGATAGCATTATTAACAAAATTTACATCCCTATATTGCTGTATACGGTTTGTTAGGAATATTCTTTTTATCTTATTGCTTTTGATAATGTGCCTTCTTTTTGCTGTGTATAAAAACCCTTTTGAAATATATTTTTCAGCAAAATGCGCGTGTCATAGCAGTCGACCGTTTGGATCCTGACTAATCATTCATACGTGACTTTTTCTTTATTAATTTACGTTGGGTACATTATTTAATTGTAGAAAAATCCTTCCAAATCTTAAAATAGAAAGTTTGCATGAAACTACTTTTTTCCATATTTTTTGTAGTTTTAGCGCGAGCGAAGCCGCGGATTCTGCTAGTTTTTTATCATTTATAACCTAAAATAATTGACAAATTACATTATAAACTTGCGACTTACTTTCGCTTTCTCGGATACGTCCCTAGGCGCCTTTTGTATTTATAATTTCAGGCAGCGCCATTCTTTGGTTTTGATTACTCACAGCAACCTACGTTTTGCTTTAGGTCATAGTCTTTCGGAGTACTAAATGCCATTCAAATCAATTCAGCCGTTTTACAGAGAGAAGTAGCGAACTTACACATATGTTCAAAATTGACATTTATAATAGTTGTGTGATATTGCCTTAACTAACAAATAGTAATCTTACCCGTTTTCGTCAAAATTAGACTTGAAATCGTTAATTTAATTCAAATTAATTAAAACCTTTTTAAAAGGTTTATTTAATTATCATACAAAATCCACAGCTAAATCTTTACATAACAAATACACAAACATTATCTTGACAGAGGCCATAAATTGGATTTAAATTATTTATGTAAGCATAATGAGTGGTAGACTTGTTTAACAATGCGAAAAAATAAAAAACTAAAAAAAGAAATCGCAAAAAAAAATACGATTTTTGAGATGCCATCCAGAAAAACATTCAGACTGAAAGACGAATAGATTTATTTTAATTGCTGCTGTTACCTCTAGAAAATACATTACTTCATTTTTTTAAATCATACGCTAACACTTTATATTCATCTACAGAATCTACAAATGTGAAAGAAACTTCCTGATCAATGTCTTTTCATAAATATTGATTAAAAAGTTGAAGCTTTAAATTAAGTTTTGTCGTACTTTCTCCCTTCTCGAAGTATTTACAATTTTAAGTTGTATTGAGTTACCTGATGATCTGAAATCTTTAATTTAGCTATATAACAACTTTTTATAATACAAATTAATTTAAAATGTAATTTTTTTGTTTTAGGTAAGCTGCTAATCTTAATATTACCAGAACAATAAGGTAAGTGTTTAAAGATTTATTGAATAATGAATTAAGTGAAACCAATAAGAATACTACTTTACAAAGCAATCTTTATTAATAAAATGTTGGTCACAGTTAAATTCTTTAATATTCTTCAACATTAACACAGTGAAAATTGCTGAGAACGAGAATAGGGAAAGGGATGAACAATTTAAACGCGCTAATCTCATTATGTAATTCCCTCTTGTGCCTTTTCGCACTATCGCTCCTTCCGGCATCGTAATCGAATCATAGAGCAAGTATCTGAGGTCGACCTGTGACGATTATTATCTTAAGACGAAGACAATGTGAATGTTGTTTTATTTAGGTACGTATTGACGCTTAGTATGGAATGGATAGACTAATATATGCCCTTCCTAGTGTCTCAAACTATATCCATAACAATTTTCATCTAAATTTGTTTAGCGGATTAAGTGTGAAAAGATAACAGACATGACAGACAGACAGACAGAGTTACTTTCGCATTTATTATATTAGTATGGATCATATTAGGGCTTTAGCGCCCATCTTAATTATGGTTAAATTTTCAACCCAGCTACTTTCGCCAGCCTTTATCACCAATTTGCGTAGGAAATAGAAATTTAAATTTACATTCTATACTTTACACAGGTAATTTTTTACGGTGCTCAGCTAACAGGTAGGAGTTGTTTTCTTGTCGAGTTTTTAATACGCCTCATTCAAGTGTTTGTGTACTATTTGAAATGCTCGTTACTTATTGTTTTATTAAAGAATGGAGAACAAGAAAGCTTCGTCGTTCTGTTAATGGACCATTTTATTCTATTTTACCTTTACGTAATTTTCTCTTACTAGCTCTGGAAATTACGATTGAATTTTGATATATTTTTATCATCTTTTTCTTTGATTGAATTTTCATAATGTTATCTAGTTGAGCAATATTTATTTGAAGTATTATATTATTTAATTTCATTAATTAATATTTTCCCAAATTAATATTATTTGATTCTGTGTGTTTAAATATTATTCAAATGTTACAGTGCTGAAAGCTGTAGTTTCAGTAGTTTGGGTAGTGTATTAGATTTCAACAAATTTGAAACTCTACCAAAAAGTCTCACCCGTTTTTGTGGGAAAACGGCACATGCCGCATTAAAAGTCCGGCTGTTTTGGGCTAGGCCTTGCCGGTGGTGTGTGAGTGAATGAAGGCGGGGGCGGACGGTTCGCGCAGCCTCCGATGCTCCCGGTCGTCGCCAGTCGACTCCGCGACTAGCGAGCTCCACCACGCACTGCTCGCTTTACACGTTTCATACAACTAACTAAATAGTGTCAATCAAACGTGCTTAACTTTAACAGCGTAAGTAATACGCTTGAAAAGTCCGATATCACCTCGATCAATCAAAGTGTTTACATATCAGCGCACCTTTACGGTAAACGAAAATTAGTCCAACATTAGCGCCATCGGTAACCGTTCTTTCATCCTTTTTGCGTCGTTATATAGCAATTACAACCGTTGCTGCTGCAAATTATATAATATTTTATTATGTATTCACCTGTATTGTCTGGAGGTCAATGTGTCTGCGGAGCGAAAAGATTGATGTACGCGCCAATCACATGTCTCCAGTAACTAGACAAAGTTCACATGCATTCGTAATTTTTTAAATACCTTTGCCTAAATTCAGTATCTAAATGAGATAGTAATATCATAATTATGTTATTTAATTGTCTTATCTGCTTAGTTTTTGTTTTTAAAATCATTATGCTATTTATTAGTTATAGTAATTTGTACTATTATTACGATAAATATTTGATATATGTAGATAACGCTTAAGGAATATTACCGTATAGAGAATTAGAGCCTAGCCAAAATAGATTCGACCCTCGTGCGATAATTCTGCCAGTTGGCAAGCTTCTGACATTTAGAACTCTCTTTGCCGACTTCAGTCTGTATCGAATGGGATCTCCACTAAGTCTCTGCTAACTGCCGTAATCCAAACCTATATGTCCCCATTTCGTGTTCCGTTTGGAAATACTTACCTACATATATAGATACTAGTTTTACCTTTATGCGAAATTAATATCTAAACAAAAAACTAGGACACAAAAATCTGTAATACTAGGTATATATAAAAAGCTAAAATATTAGGTTAATTTCGAAGTCTGATATTAACTTAATTTTTATAAAATTTAGTCCCATATTTTTAATATTCGACTAAATATCTTATATTTTGTTCTAAGGCAAATCTAATGTTAATGTTTTATTAGTTTAATTCTTTTTGTATTATTTAATGAAATACCTTCACAACGTCAAGCTTTAAGCCATTAATTATATTAAAAAATTCAAAATCAGCAACCGACTTAATTCAGTTGGCAAATGTATAATACCATTACGTTACCCTCTTCATAGGAGCGTTCGTTATTTATTTCTGCTAAATTATCAGATGCGGACCCGATGTCTCCATTTTCTGAATTTAAATTTTTGCTGTTAGAATTTAGATAAATGCTTTTTAAATTACTATATTTATTCATTTTGATTATAAAAAATTCAAGTACATTAAAATTTTATTAACATTAAAAAGTCACAAAGGAAGAAACAATTGAATATTTTTCAAGGTATTTAATTTGTGACATAGATTGAGTTGTGACAAATACTAAATAAGTTGATTTGAAAGTATGATCCAAATCTTTTGTTTTTTGTAAATTCTATACATTTTAATTTTATGGTTTAATTTTTTTTTATTGGGTAAAAATAAATTTCATAAAAAAATATTTGTCATTTTAATACTGTATAATGTAATAATGACTATAATAAAAATATACCTTAAGCCAAATATTTCATGCACTCATTGCTATAAAATCGGTACTCAACTTATGATTGAAAAGTATTGAAAGCTGTGATTAGTTAAAAATTAACATTTTAACACCTCCAGGTAAATTTCTAAGAAATTAATTAAAATTCTAAGAAATCTATTGTTAACTGACACGCCGGCGTGTCCGCGGTCGTGGAGAGATTAAATCATTTACTTGTTTTTATTTCTATATTGAATTGTGTATGAGTTTTTATATAATATTTTTTATACTTTTCGTATATATAAGACAGTGCTTTGTTTGTTCACAATATATATTTAAATCAATATGAATACTCTTATGTTTGAATTCCATATATTCTAACTATTGGAACTATTGGTCCAATGCAGAGAGAAACACTATGAAGATAGATTATGTTTACACCACACGATTGCTAGCCACCCTTCCTCAAAGGAACGGGAAGTGCGGATGTTTACCTAATGTGGCCATGACCTATTTTACCTTATCGCCTGGGCGAGACACATTTCGAAATATGACAGTCAGTTTTTATTACACATGGTTTTTTTAAAACATTTTTGTACATGATTAATATTCAAAATTCATAGGGTTTTACACTCCTATTATATCTTGGCCACTTTTATACTTAGCCCGTCATGTTTTAAGGCCAAGTTTGTGAACGCATTACATAAAAATATTTTTCTAACCCGAGTGGAATACTTTCGGAAAAGGGATTTACCTTTGAAAACCTTAAGGATAACAAAAATAAAAGATAGACAAAGGCCACTTGCATGATTTCATGTTTCATGTCGCTTGGGCATAGAAATTTCCTCATACTCATTGTGTTATGTTGCTACTAGAGCTTGTTTATATATATTTAACCCTCAAAGACTACGATTCGACTTAGTTTAGGTTGTGATTGCCACTAACACGTACCGGGGTTTTACGATGCAGGGACACGCGGTTACCCCATTGATTTATTTTCATTATCGCTTTCAGCTGTTCCGCCGCCCATATTTTTCGGCATCTGAAATTGGAAGTCGTATTGAGGCAAAATAATAAAAGTTTGCTCAGGCAAATGTTTTTCATATAAGTATGCTGCGTCTTGGGCATGTTTTTGGTGAACTTCGTTTATGTTTCCGGCTCCAGTGAAATTCGTTTCAGTCGATGCAAGACCGAGCTATGCAGATATCTCATTGTATGACAGCTGACACCGAACTGATGACCCAGTGACCCCATTCTGGACTGCAGCAGTTAGCGACCTGTGTACCTTAATATTTGTTTTGAGTTCTGGCACTGATTCCAAGTCAACTCCTCCATATTCATGCAGTTGAGCGATTCTTTTGTCTGCCGGTGAATTAGTAAGTCTAAATCTTCAAAAAATTTAATTAGTTACGTAACTTGACTTGTTGAAATCTTTTGTTATGACTTGTCGCCTCTTTCTTACGTCTTTTGTAACATGTAGGCGGGTTTAAGAAAATAAGCAATGTTAAGGGAATCCAAGGTATCTTATTAATTCTCAGAAACTGGTAAACACAAAAATCGGTAAGATTGATAAGAAAATTTTATAATTGGTTAATTTGTAGAAGAAATTAAAGTCGCTTTTGCCGGTACAAATCATAAAACGCTGAAAACGGTTGTAGTATTTACGCTTGCTGCGACATTCGTATTTAAAAAGCTCATAAAGAAAAGTATAAAGGTAATAAAATGCTGGTTCCATTTTCGCCATTACTAGCGAGGTTCCCTTTAATTGTCGCTCAGCTATCGGTATGAACGGCAGTGAAATTTAATGAGCAACATTTAGGTCAAGGTCTGATGACAGCAAACCATCTGTTTTTTATTACTGTAATTCACTTAGCGATTTATGTGAATGGGATATCGAAATTGTAAATAATATCAAAAATCATCCAGAATTTGTTTATTAGGTAGTTAGTAAATAAATGTACATTATAATTAAAAAAAGAAGAAGCTATATAGAATATGACAATTTACTTTTTTTGTTAAAAATAATTGTAGGCCTTTTATTGAAAGTGGGGTTTGAAATCATCGAAGTTTCTCGTACACCAATTAAAACGTATAGCAGAACCTTAAGCAAACTTGCCTAAATGTTTTCCATTTTAAATCTCAGGGGAAATTAAAACCTGGTGCATGGAACCCTATTCCTTAGAAGTTTATTAATAAGAAACTAGGCTTTGACAAAACATTAACTTTTTTTATCTATTATGCTTTTTTTATAAATATAAATAACAAACACAAGTAATACATTTGAGTGCTTTAATTCGATAACTCAGGTGTACCTTTGGGAGTAGACACGGAGAATTGAATGGATCAGTTAAGACTGAGGCTTGCCGCATAGTCGAGTGTCTAGGGATACAGGTAATTCCGAACCTACAATATTATTCGGTATTATCCTACTTTGTAAGTACATACATACATAAGTGAGATATATTTACTGACATGAGTAAATCGATCTGCGGAACATTGTATCCAATTTACGATATTTTTAACGTCCAGGTACCTACATTTTAATGTTAGTTAGAGAAGTTTTCTGTGGCTTAAAAGGCCTTTAATTTATTAATTAATGTCGTATTAATATATAAATAGTATTCGCTTGTTAAGAATTAATTTTAATGTGTTTTATATCCATACTAGCTTTTTTGCCCGCGGCTCCGGTGGCGTCGTTTATTTAAGTATAATTTCTCAGCTCCGCAGAGCCGTACCCTTCGGACCGATACTCTTTCTCAATAAATAGGCCATAAAATTCTAAAAGATATTTTCAAAAAGGTTTCAGAGATACAAACAAAAAAATAACAAAACAAATTTTTAAATTATATTAGAAGGTACAGATCATACTTTAGTTCTTTAATATTAACTTAGTTTCTTTATTGAAACATTAAAAGGCAGTTTCATATGCAAATCTGTGACCTACTTCTGATGCAAGGCCGAACCTTGTTTTGCTTCATAACTGGTTCAAATTCATGTAGCTTTACAATAGGAAGATAATTTTTAATCGCTATTACCAGAACTTTTAAAACTTAACTTTGTCTTATGGTTTATCCATTAAATTTTATGCATAGTATTTTATTTGTATGTTAATCTATGATAAGATGCGGAGTGCTTAGTGGTTTTCTAGTGATGCGGTCACAGACAGACAGACAAAAATTCTAAAAACTATAGATCGGCCTCTGTAATGATAATAATAACTATTTCAATAAAATATTCCAAAAAATATTTAATTTACAGTTTCGCCTGAGAATTTGATTATATGTAGGTACCTATAGATATCGGTATTCTTTGTTCAGTACAGTTATATAATATTATCTATATTTGATATAACTATTACAGCATTAAGTGATAAATCTACATAATAATTATATTATAAAGCAGATGATTTTGTGTGTTTTTGTTTGTTACAATGTGTTTTTTTAGGATAGAAAATGAAGTAGGTATATCAGTGGAGCCGCAGGCCAAAGCTATAAATTTTTTAAAAAGTTTTAAGTTTGGTTTAAGATAGATCATAGTTTCAGAAGGGCAGTTGTTGAATCTAGATTATGCCACGGTCCACATTGATCTTTGAGCTTTGGATTTGTCTTAGGTATTTATAATACATCTATATTATCTAATTAAATTTTAGGTATGTATTAAATATATATGAATTTAGATTTTTTTCAATATTCGTTGTATTTTTAAGAATATTTAATTTCACTTGTCATATCAAAGGCACGCCAAAGGTTGTAATCGTTATTAAGAAAAATAAACCTCAAAATCTTATTAAAAATTATTTTCACACAAAGTTTATATAAAGAGTAATAAAAATCGATTATAAAAGCATAATAAGATGCGGAGCTAGTGTGTTCACGGTTGTGCAAAACTAAAAGGATAAGAAATAAAGCGTTAAAGCTAAGTGTTTGAAAGTGACAAAACAAATAGTGAATTATTGGCATTGGTGCGGATGATACGATGCGCGGTTGGCGGTTTGCATCGCGGCGGAGACGCTAGCGGCAGGTGTAAGGGCAAGCGGAAAGGGTGTCGGGGCGCGAGCGCGAGGACTGGTGCCCGCACGAGGCGAGGCGGCATGCGCTGACGTGCACGAGGCGCTGCGCGTGTTGCGGCGCAGCGCGATGCCCGGCCGGTGTCCCTGAGATGGAGGAAGGCGTGTATTGGCGACCGTCCTGCTCGACGCTATCCCTCGAACACCATGGCAGCACGAGTCATCTATGTGCTAGACACGCAAACACCCCACGAATGCCGCACAGACACCCCCACGCACATGCGCCCCACGTGCACCACCATGCGCACGCGCACGCGCACACGCACCACCTGCCGCACGCGCAACACGCAACCTGCCCCGTGCACAGCCCCTTCAGACAGCCAACGCCTGAATACTGCGCAGCGCACTCTCAGGTTTGTCAACTATTTTAATTTTAGTTATTGTTGATACATCTTTTTATAGATAGATCTATAATTACAATTTGAACTTTTGATGTTAGTATCGTACAAACAGCCCGAAGCGCACTGTGTCATTAAAATTAATTTTACAACGTATTTATTAATTATTATTTTATTCATTGTAATGATAATTAGTTATGAGTTATTTGAATAATTTGATGAAGATCAAATTTTCCAATCCTTGAATGTCCGCCAAATAATAGCATTAATCGACTATTGTGTTGCGTATGATATTAATTATCACTTTATGACGCTATATAATCATGAAATGCACGTGGGAACAGATTCCGGAGTTCATGTTATGGATGGCATCATCTGCACCAAATTTATGACGATCAAAAGGCTTCTGAATTTCGGCCAAGTCCACTTTCCCCTTATAAGCGATACTGCTGTGTCGTTTAAAATTTCATATCAATATCAACATAAAATTATATAAGGGGTCATCGTTACATAACGATGGCCCGTTGAGAAAAAAAATACGTTATTTTTTAGTTTGCGTCAGTCAGTAATTTACACTAAAGTATTTTTTAAATACATAATGCTGCAGTGCGTTTTGTGCTTAATACAAGTATACTCCATGGATTTGATTCATGTTTAGACCTTTAATCTAATGATTTGGTGGCACTCGGGCAGTAGACTTGGCAATGTCTACTAGTTCGATATTACAGGAACGTCTTTTACTCACAAACGAGTAGAATACATTGATGTAATTTGTTGTCTAGAAAAAAACCTCTATTCTTCTGAAACAGTACTAGTACTGAATGAAGGTGGACAGTGTTTTAGGTATTCGTTCTCATGGCTATTAATTTGGAATATTGTAAGGAATTCAGGTGGAGATCATCATTTTAATATAGTGGTGATAATGTTGTCACATCGTACAGCTGGTCTTGATTGATGCGATACACATAAATGATATATGTGCATAATGGACGGACCGGATAATATTCTCAGAGCATACTTGTATTTGTATGGATTTTGCAGTTATGTTCAATTTTTTATGAGTGGAACACCTATTTTTCGATTTCTACTTATAACTAAAGATATATTGACTTTTTATTGTTTAAATTTTTTCGTCGTACTTGTTGCTATGTTCTATCAATTTCATCAATCTTTTTTTATAGTTTCGGTATTAACTACAAGATATAAAAAACCCTATCCTTTTAAATTATCTACTTGGCTTATTTTTAAAATATATCCCATATGATTTTTGTCGCTTCATGCGTCTGTTTAGCCGGAAAAACAAAACAGCCATACAGGTAATTACCGAAACAGCTTTCGCATACCTGCACATAATACATATATGTAGGTAGTTCAATTTCGCCAATGTACTAATTTTACTAAAATATATTTTGTTTTAACTAAAAATGAAAGCCCGTTGAACTCAACTAATAAATCTATTGAGTTTATCTTTTCAATGCAGTCGCTTAGCTTGTCAAAATCGATTTAGTCATTTGTTGCTGTAGCCGCAACGTCAGCTCAATATTGAGGACATTGTCAATGAATGACAAGTGAGTTACGATCTGTATGGTTTCCGATTCATTCATCATTTCAATATGAATTTTTACTTCACTGGTTAATATCGTTTCCGATCGCTTATTATATAATTTAAATAAAAATGGAACAGATATATTAGGTCGAGAATTATTAACTGTACTTATATACATATAGGCAGTGGTAGCCCAGTGGTAACGCGCTCGCTTAGAAAACCGAGTGAAGCGAGTTCAAATCCCGGATCTCGCACCTCTGATATTTTCATGTCCGAATCGTTTCCAACGTAATTATCATACCATACACATTAGTCTTAACGGTGCAGGAAAACATCGTGAGGAAACCTGCATGTCTGAGAAAATGTGTCAAGGTTTTCAAAAGATATGTGAAGTCCGCCAACCCACACTTGGCCAGCGTGGTGGGCTATGGCCTGATTCCCCTCGTATTGAAGGGAGGTCCATGCCCAGCTGTGGAACGTTAAAAAAATGGCTGAATACACACAATACACAATACACTTATATATAGACATTAAATAATGGATAAGTGCAAATGACAGTAAGATGATGATAACTACCAGATATAATAATAAAAACTTTTCGCGAATTCGGGGCAAAACTTCAATTTAGTTGAAATATTACCTCATTATGGCACCGAGGTATGACACACTGAATGCGGCTTCGTACTTTATTCTACTGTTCTTTATGTTTTCTATTGTCAAAGTGTCTGTTTTTTTATTAAGTTTCTAAGATGAAAATATTTATGAATGAAACTAGTTTAAAACGGATTTTATTCTTATTTATTTCCAAGTTTTATACGTTTTTTACAGAAATTACAATTTTTACACAAATATTGTTATATGGTAGCATTATTCTTGTCTATTACCATTGATCGATTATTATTTATTTATCACCATTGATTCAAAGCGTTCTTTAGCAACTTTATTAAAGTTGCATTGTTATTAAATTTCAATAACTACCATCTTTACTTATTTACTATTTGTCGAAAACGTTATGGAGAGTTCGTTGTAATTTAATGTAAATATCACTAAAATTCACGAATCAAGTCTGACAAAGTAAATAGTTTTTTAACTTCCATATAAATTTTGAGAATCTTATATTTTACTCATTTCAATCACAGAAACACCCTTTTAAGATCGAACCAGATTGTTTCTCACTGAATTCATATAAAATGATTCTGTTTTCGGTTAGATATTGATGGCATCAGCTGTAAATTGACCCCTCAGTAAACCTATTTGGTCCCCCAAGCGCAATAACTTCTATAGACCCTTGGTGAATTGAATCGAAAGAAAATTTCAAGATCTTCATAAACAAACTGTAAACTTATCTATTTTACGTAATATAGTAATTTCAGTCCATAAATGTAATTTTCATATAACAATTAATTACAAAAATATTTATTCTTATAAAATTACATTTGCCGTAAATGCTGAACTAGTTTTGTTTATAATTAAAAAGATATGTTAAATTAAAAAAAGATAAAAACATAGATCCCAAAAAGGTGATTTATTGTTTTAAAAAAATATTTTAAGTGAAGGGAAACGAAATAATAAGCCCGTAATAATTTTGCGTAATTTTACTGATTATTGAAATATCAGCAATCAGATGATGAGTTTGTAGTGTATGTTCACAGGTGGCGCTTTTAATTTTTATAAATTGTTTATCACGAATAAAAATTGTTAAAATTGCAAATATTTTTATTGGAATGCAGAATGAATTTAACAATATTTACCATATGTTTGTTTTGTCACAAATTTTGATAATAAAACAATTTAACTATTTGCGAATCAACGACATCTGTTATCTATTTAAGCAAACAAAAATAGCCCGAATAAGCACTGTCCAATTTCTTTGTATGGGATGAGTCATCTGTGCTAGTGTAGTTTTCTGTGATCTGTGGTTTTATTTTGCAATTTTCGCATATATGTAATAGTTGTAATTAAGTTTAGTTTAGTGGTGATATGACTTCGATCAGAAATAAATATATTTACATTTGTATTGTTAGTGGCGGCATAATCAAATTTAGATTTACTTACTACTCTACTTTGTATCTTGTCTGCTCTCTCCTTTGACTTTATTAGGCAATTAATTAGCTTTAGTAATTTAGGGAATTAATTTTCTCTTGATAAAGCTATAAGTTGCCAAAGAGTTGGGTAAATTTTATTTTGCATAGGATCGTGGGCTGTTTTAAGTAATTAAATAAGAATTTACTGTCAGTACGTATAAATACTTTTGTAACTAAAACGAAAACAATGTTTCGTTTTATGGCCTCTTATTATATTAGAGCGTTTGATGTCGTAAAGATCCCATAATATGGCGTTATTACATTTTGTTACAATCTTGGCTGCTTATAATGTTTACCTCTTAATATTAGTCTTAATGCGAATGTCTAATCAAGTTGATTTTTGATAACCTAAAAATATATTATTTACTAGCATTGCTCGCGGCTCCGCCCGCATTCAGATGACCAAAAACCAAATCCTTAGGTTTTACATATTAGTGTACTTTATACTCACATTGCAGATTTTGTATTTTTTCTCAGAAATGAGATATTTTATCGCGGTAAAAAGTATCCTATATGTTGTCCCGAATAACCAGCTATCAACATACTAAATTTCATCAAAATCCCTCCAGTGGTTTTTCTGTGATGCGGTATAACAGACAGACAGACAAAAATTCTAAAAACTATAGATTCGGCCTCTGTATCGATAATAATGTTTATTTCAATTAGATTTTCCAAAAAATATTTAAGATTCGGCTTAGTTACAATTTTATTAAATGTATAGATATATTTTGGGTACCTAACTTTACTATTATTTTTTTCTAATATAACAGTAAGTGTAGTGTAACGAGGGCAAAACTTTATTATTTTTAATATTAATATTTCATACGTATCTGTTAGCTGTGTAGGTAACTAATAGAACTAAATGTATACTTTAAAAGTAATAACGTAATAAGTACATTTCTAAATCGTGACCAGAAAGTAAATAAAAGTTTTGTTAAAGAAATTAAAAATACATCAGCTCGGCAAACTTGAAGGAATTTCACTGTAAAGATTTTACTTAAAATAGTTTGTTTTCTCGGGGAAAATCTAAATTATTTATTTGACGAGTAAAGAACGTGATCCACGACAACTCTGCTCCATCACTGTCACTAGTGTTGGCGTAAGTCCTTGTTATTTTAAAAGATAAATTAAACTTACATTATATTTAACTGATATCCATAAGTCCACTCCATCTAAAATGTGCGTGACAGATGTTAATACCAAATATCATTCTTACTATGTTAGTATTACCAAGTTATATAATCATGCCTAAGAGTAGTATATTTGCAACTTATTCCATATCTTCGCTATCTATCTTTCGCTTTTGTAAAAGTAATCCGATTAAAACAAAATTTACAATTTTAAAATAAAATGACTTTTTACAGCTATAGGCGTATCAATTATGCAAAGAGGGCATAATTATGCGTCATTATATTATTTTTTTCAAATAAAACAGAAGTGTTTTAGGCGGCAGTACTCAACATAAGTACTTAATGTGCCGGATTTGAACGTGCTACCTTTGTCGACCTTCGTCGACCTATCGTTTAAAGCTAAGATTTTTTCTATTAAAAGATCATCTATGGCCTAACAAAAAGCCAACAGAGGGCGTAGTTTTTTTTTTGTTAAAGAAACCAAACTTAGACTCAGCTCAGTAGTAAGTACCAACGATAGGCTTTCATACAAACAAGCAAATACCTCTTTGTAATAGTTTAAGATTTTGTAAAGGTATAAATTAAAGCTCCTTTTGTAAAATTAAGGTAAATTTTGTCCGCTTTGTTTA